GAATGTACCACATCCACGGTTCAACTTTGGAAATGATCATGCCGACAATGGACTCCGGACTAGGTGCGTTACTCTAAATCTTCCTACCAATATGACCGAGTTGTGAAAACAAGTTCAAACAACTTGTAATTATCTTCATTTAATCTTCATTACCTTCGGCTTGAATTTTATTTGCTGCTTCAAACATTCCTCTGGATTGCTACCCGTGTCTAGAATAAACGTGACCTCGATGAGCTAGGTTTCATTAACTGTATAATGTCAAGGCGTAAACGCTTTGTTTATATTCACATACATACATGTTTGGAAAGGCTTTATAAAACCGCTTTATGCCTAGATCCTATCTGCCTTGATAGGTTTTCCGAAGTGATGGCAATATTATTTTTAGGTTTACGAAATAACAGATGCTATTTTATTAATTTTGCATTGGCTGTACTTTTAATTAAAAAAAATTCGATTTATATCTTTGATATATAACTTTCATAAAATTTATATACTGTTGAGTGTGATGGAGCTACCATTGTCATTGTTGATGTTAGCATATACTAGATTCTTTTATATAGGCGGTATGACATTTCTCAATATAATTATTAAACACTATATTTGAGATGGAAAAAATTTCAACGAAGGTATTTTTCTTACGCTAGTTTTCTTGTTAGCAGCTGCGGGATGTAAATGTAAACATCTTACTTATATTCACTGATCAATTGTGGTGCGTTACTAAATAAATGTAGATCGCTACTTTTTGATGGGCTACTATGCATCTAAATTCTCTATTCAAGTAAACTGTAAAGCACATTGTTGGAATCAGGTTCTTAATAGATGAATACACACAAAAATTTGTATGTCCTATTATTTTGATCTTCTATTAGTCGTACCAAGAGTTGAGGTTTTGGAGACATATGATGGTTGGTTCTTAAACGTATTTTAAGACTCATGCCAGACTCCTGTGTTGGTGTTTCCAGATTTGAGAATCTGCAAAAATATTTAAAGAGAATTTACTTACAATAGTGTTTCCTCGTGGGATATATCTGCTAATTTTGAATGAAAGTCAACAGTCATCATCTCTTGAGTGCTTTATTTAGAGTTATAATCTCACTATTATGCTACATAACTTATGTTTTGAAAGCCCTTGACATTTGAGCTTAATCTATTTGCCTCAATTATTTCAACGTTTTAAATCATTATTTTTTAAGCATGTAAAAGAGAGCTTATAAAAAATCCAGTCATTCTGTCAACCAATCTGTCTTACCTCTTATATCGTTTTTATCCTTTAGGCATCTTTGATACTGATATGCTAGCTGGTTTGCCCGAGAATGTGCGCAAACAGCTTACATCTTCAGTGCCTAATCCACAACGTCTTGGTCATCCGGATGAGTTTGCTCATCTTGTTCAATCCATTATTGAGAATCCTATGCTAAATGGAGAAATAATCCGATTAGATGGAGCTCTACGAATGCAGGCATGATCTGCTAGATGTAGATAATATGAATTTCTTCATTTGCGTATACGTTTCTGATTTTATACTTTTATACTTAGCCTTTATCTGTATTTCGACAATGCGCCCTTAAAAATGCGGGAATTTTTATTTACTAATAATATTTATTTACGCAAAATAATCCTTTTTTAAGATTGCTTGATCCGTTAGGATTACATCATAGTAGCATATTTTGATTTGTCTTTAAACACCTTTGGTTCTACTCAAGTCATAGGATTCACATTTTAGCAGCCTATCTAAATGACAGTACCGTTCTTATTACCTTTGCATTCGGCATTCCTTTTATTCGAAAGGATTCAAATTTAGTATATAAATTATAAAATATAGCCTTGATTTTGAATTCTTTATGTGAGTGATGTCTAATATGACATTGTAATTTTGATCTTATTAATGTTGCTATATACTAGGGTACAACACTTCGAACTTTTGGGTGAAATTTTTCACATTGCGTATCGAGAGCATCTAGCGTAGCTCAAATTCACGGTCTTATTCTCAATTTAAGCTTATGAGAATGTTTGTTGAGTGGAAAAAATGTTGAGCTTAGAAATAAAGATATGTCGTGCTCGAAATGGTAGATTTACATCATGTTTTTTCCTTTGTCCATTTACGATTAATGCAGCATGATGAGTTCGGTATTCATTTTATGCTTTGTTGTGGATAGCATTTAAATAGGGATATCGAAAAGAATTTTGATCGCTGTTCTATGATCCGGATGAATCTATCAATAGTCTTTGTTCGTAATGTCACTTTAACAGCTTTCTGAGCTGTGTGGACTGCATAACTTAGTTGATTGCTTTATACTTCTCCTTACCTGCATGCAGATGAACAGATTTGATGTGGATGTAGCCTAGATGATATTTTTTGACAAATTAACTGTAATTATATTATTTTAAAATGCTCTGTGTTCGAGTTCTATTTGCCCTAAGCAAACTGAGTGCTTCGCAGTCTCTCCTCTTCCTATTTCTATTCAACCACTAAATTGTTTCAACTTAAGCTCCAAACTTTGTTGTACTTTTCAGGATGGATTTTTTTTAGTATAATCTTCCGCTTGACTGAAATTTCTGTTGGTTGAATTTTAGACCGTTATAATCGTATCTTGGAATATATGTTTAACTACTAATTTTTGTACCCATACACCGTTTTGGATTACTCTTATTCTTGGGTTGAACTGTGAGGCTGAAATTGTTCATAAACTTTTCATTTAGTAGAGCAGGTGAGTTCTGTTACACGACTTAGACTTCATTTGTTCATCAATTCAAAAACAGCCATTTTAACTTCATAAACAAGCTTACAAAAGAAGTTAAGATGGAAATTCGCAGCTTGGTTTGATCATGTACACTATCCTGCCATAGCTCCATAAACAACTCATTTATTTTCATTAATTTGATGAATCCCGTTAGACTTTCTTTGTCCATTTATCAAATAGCAAAATTGTCGTCCATATATTCAACCCATAATTGGGGTACTAAGCGGGCTATCTGAAGGGAACGACCTTCATAGTGAGTCATGTAGTTAATGTCTTAACTTATAGACAAGGGCAATCACATAACCCAGCGCCGTGCTAGCTTACTAAATTTACGAGTGGAGGTAAATTATTAACTGTTTATTACTGAGTTCGTAACTCTCATGATTAAACGTTTGTTTACCTTCAAAATTATTATAATCTATAAAGGCTAGTTTAAAGCTTGCTCTTTAGATTATGTTGATCCATTTATCGGCATATTAGGTTATATCGAGACTACATCAAGCCTTACTATCAAATCCTTCTATCCTGCCACGTGATCATTCATAAGCGTAGAAAATTCTTAAATATTCCCTGACGCAATCGGCAATTATTCGGAAATTTGCTTTAATTGACAAACAAGCATACCTAAAGGAGGCCCCTTTGATAAATATGCCATAATTATTTTAAGGACTAGCATTTCGTTAAAGAACAGTAATTTTCCATTTATCCACTTCTTATACACTATTATATTCTTAAGAATTACCCAACCCTTAACTACAATTTCTCATCTACTAACTATTTGTTAGTTTTAGGGGGTCTAAAATGAATTAAGGAATGGTATAGTAATATATATATAATGATATCGATAGCCATTCATTTTCAATTAGCCTTGCTTTCCAAAAGGCTACCTCACTCAAGCTGGACTTGACTACAGTTTTGATCTCGTTCGAGTCTCATCATCACCTCCATTGGGATTTAGCAACGGGTCGTGGACATCCTGACGAACGTGTTACCTAACCACGCAGCCAAAGATGCCAGTTAGCCACAGTACGAAGGCGCCATGATAGACAAACCAGGTCTTTTAAAACTCTAATTTGTAGTGGGATTGTCAATGAGGCAGGCATGCAATTTTTATCGCGATCAACTGCATTACTTATATTCACTCAGAGTATGTTTGGGAAGTATCAGTAATTTTTGAACAACTTAATCATCCTTAAAATTAGTTAAATTTTCACTCAATGATATGAGTACTTACCTAACATGCTTGTTCTTCATCTGCACTTAACACTATTTGCTCATTTTGTCTGAGTATTCTTTTATGATACCTCTATTTAGCTAGTAATTAGGGGAAATATCTGAAACTTACTATCAGTCCTAGTCCTCCACCAAAGGAAACGTGTAAATTCTAACTTTACTTTCTTTATATATTTCTTACTAATTGGTGGCGTATTGTTTATTCCCTATAACCTATACACGCTTTCTACTTATTTTCATTTAATCTGATTTTAGTGTCTAAATTCAAAGGAATATTTTTATGATTAATTTTACTCCGCTAAAATACTCTATCTTACTACGTATACGTGATTATAATTTATTAAAGTCCTATCAAATAAAAAGTGCTAAAGTCTGGTTTTAATTATTTTCTAGGAATGTAGTTTTTATATTTCCCCTGAAATCTATATTTGACTAAATCATGGATAATAGTTGATACATGAACTGTCTTTGCCCTTTTTGATAAAGCTGACCTATACATAACAAAATGTCAGTACTAATCATGTTTAAAAATACCATTTATATAAGGAAATGTGTTAACTTTTCATAAATTCATTTTATTGGGTGTAGGCTAATACATTTCAATAATATTTTTACTATACGCAATCCGTAGATATTGTTATATCAATTAATTAGAGAGGAAAATATGGGCGTAGGCTATTTATGAAATAGAAATACTCAAAACTTCATTTGGATTGCCTTCGTATTGCAAATGTAGATTTTCTTGAAGTCATTTAACCAATGCTTGAGACTATAATTAATCAATGCTAACTTAAAGTCTGTCATGCGAAAGGCATCGTCAGAACTAAAAATCATTCTTCCAGCCAACCTTTTAAATGAGATACAAAATCGAATGACATGAACTTATTAATGGCTTTTTCGAAACCTATATATCATATTTAGTCATCCATCTAGTCCGATCTTGCTCGAGGTAGCTTAACGGTGATTCGGAATCACTCCAAAGCGTCTTGACTAATCACTTTCGCTATATTCTAAGACAAGAAGCGAAATTTAAGCTATCCAGTAAATTTCTTATTCAAAAATTACTGATTGCTGTAAAACCTGTTTGCGAAAAAATAGGTTTAGTCGTCTGTGCTAATGGAAAATACATATTTCATTTACACTCCTAAAAGACGAAGCTACCGAGCGACCAGCTGATAGTGTTGACTGTAACGGAAGGCTGACATGTTGCCATGATGCCCACGAAATGATATAAAATCTCACTGGGTGTGTTGATGCATCCGATGTTTTGACAAGAAAACCTTTCGGTAATTAGGGTTAAGTAAAATCCATTTACACTGTGAGGGCCTCATATCACGGTATGCTATTTTGCTATCAGTCATTGAATCACCAGAAGCAAGTTAGGTTGACTGACTTATTCAAGTAGTAACACATACCCATATAGAAAATAATACTTTTAAATACTTTATAACATTCGTGCCTTATCCCATTCACGATTTCAATTTTACTTACAAAAATTAAAAAAATATATATATGATAGAAAGTTTGCCGCTTATTGTTACAATCCAATGTTGTTAAATTATCCACTTTAAGGTTAAGAGATTATCTTATTTTGTCAATGAAATTCAACTTAATACATCCTAAGGCAGTGTCCTATGTTAATGGAGTCGCAATTTTGACCACATTCGAGTATTTTCAACAGCCAATTTTTATTTAGAGTCCAGATATTGTACTGACGCGTCACAATTGTGGCATGTTTATTGCAGGTCTAATATGGTCAAAGTTACAACTATGTTGGTGGCCGACCTGTACAAGAATGTAACTTGGAGTCTATCGAATAATTAAATTCAGTTGCGACATCCCTTCTTTATTAGTAACGAGGTATGTAGCACATTGCGACAAACTATGTATCTTGTCAACAATTCGGACGTAATTATTTGCAACTAATTGCTCCATGTTAAGCGAATTATCTTAATATCCGATCCATTCTACACTAAAAAAAAGGATTTCTAAACAAATCATTTCTATTATTCAATTTTCTTGGTAAGAACGTGTACTCAATCCCGGATGCCTTAAATGTTTGGGTGCATATAGCCTTTGTGCTATTTAAGATACGAGCCGCCTGCACCTCGGCACATTCTAGATGGGCCAGCCTCTAATA